GAAATCTGCATTCAGTTGGGTAAATCTTTCCTTTTCGCCTTTGCCTTTCGCTTTCCTTCTTTCCTCTGCTATTTGTTCAGATCTCTGAACCAAGGTTAAATAAGCAATGCTTAACTCTGGCTATTGCTTTTACTCTTTAAAGGATTTTACTTTATATGAAGCATTTCTGTATGGCTGCTCCAGAAAAAAAATCTATTCAAAGCTTTAAGCAGTATTAAAAATCAACAATGAAACCAAAACATGCCTGGGTTTCTACCCCTACCCCTTCCTCCATCTTTATTTTCAGTTAAAGGTTTACCAGCATCTTCAGCAAGGATGGGAAATCTGTGGCATGGACACTGAACTAAACTCCTGAAGGTGAAAGTGAACCAGCGGCCCAAAACCAGGGCCACAGCCATCCCCGTTCTCCTAGCCCGTAGCCTGTTACTGTGTTACTGTGGAACCAGGCTAGTCAAGTTGTGGAGGCAGGGAATAAACAGGGAAGAGCATTTGATCCTATGGCTTACTTCTAATTCTTTGACAGACAGTATCTCTTCACTGGTGCCAAAAGACAGGTTGCTTACCTGTAACTGGTGATCTTCGAGTGGTCATCTGTGCATTCACACCCTTGGGATACTCTGCGCCTGCGCTGACCTTCTCGGTACCGGTAGCTAGCAAAAGGGATTTTCGCGCCTCTCCCAGGTCACGCGCCGGCTCCACTGCGCATGACCAAGGAGGGGCACGCAGATCCCGCCAGTTCCTTCTGACCGCCGCCCAACAGCCTTCAAAGAAACAAGATGAAGGGCCGAGAGCAGAGGGGAAGGAGGGCGGGTGGTGTGAATGCACAGATGACCACTCAAAGATCACCAGTTACAGGTAAGCAACCTGTCTATCTTCTTCGTGGTCTCTGTGCATCACACCCTTGGGAGAATAGCAAGCAATAAACGCTTACCTGGAGGAGGGGCCAAGGCCCTACATCTGTGCCGTCTGCAACACTGCCTTACCCACTGCCGTACGACGACTGAACCGGGTATCGAGGGCGTAGTGCTTCACGAAGGTGAGCGGATTAGCCCAGGTCGCAGCATTACAGATGTCCTCCAATGATGCACCTCTCAGGAAAGCTGTAGAAGTAGCCACTGCACGAGTGGAATGCGCTCGAAGTGGACCCAGAAGTGGTCGTTTCGCCAAAGCATAACACAGCTTGATGACCTCCACAATCCATTTTGACAGTCTTTGGGAGGAAATCTTCTTCTCTTGAGAGGGTCGACTATGAGCGATAAACAAAGCTGGGGACTGACGGAAGGACTTGGTCCTGCCCAGATAAAACAGTAACGCTCTCTTAACATCCAAAGAATGCAAACGCCGCTCCTCTTCGTTAGAGGGAGCTGAGAAAAATGACGGGAGAACTATATCAGAACGTAAATGAAACTCAGAGACAACTTTGGGCAAAAAGGAAATGTCCAAAGTTAGCGAAGCCCCTTGTGGCGAAAAACTCAGGTAAGGAGCATTGCATCTCAAAGCAGATAGCTCGCTCACTCTGCGAGCAGACATAATGGCCACCAAAAATGCCGTTTTTAAAGACAACAACTTTAAAGAACAAGTAGCCATAGGTTCAAACGGTTTCCCTGTCAAAAAATTTAAGACCAACGCCAAATCCCATGCTGGAGTAGGCGTACGACAAGGAGGGTGCAAACGGATAAGACTTGAAGGAACCGGATGATTGACTTGAAGGAACCGGATGATTGTCCTTTAGGTTTATGGCTGAAAGACTGAGATTGCGACATTGATGGTCTTTGCCACTATTCAGTAGGCGACTTACTGGAAGATTGCCTATTCGACCAAGATTGCCTACCCCACTGTCTGGGTTTGGCATATTTGGTAGAGGGGGACATCCCCAAACTTTTAGACGTTTTGATGCTTTTGTCCATTTCCTGTAACACTGAATCGGTAGTGGAACTGAACAGTCCAGACCCCTCAAAGGGAAGATCTTCCACTGATGACTTAGTGTCATGCGGTAATGAAGAGGATCGTAACCAAGCATGTCTGCGTAGCGCAACAGATGTAGCTAAGGTTTTTCCCGCAGATTCCAAGGTATGTTTGGCGGCACTAATTTGGTGCCTGGCCACCGTCATGCCTTCATTCTGAAGTTTCTTTATCTGAGGCTGAGATAGGAAGGTCCGCTTCGACATCGGGAGGAATATCGGGATCATCTCCCTGATTAGATGAGGCTTCCGAGCCGGCTGAGGCGTTGGAAGGATCAGGGGATGAAGGAGGCAGATCGGGCTGCAACGGAACTGGCATCTATATCGACATAATCGGTGGAGGCACAACCGGGCCGGGTTGTGGCGTTGGCATGGGCCGTTTCGGCACAGATGATCGATCTCGATTGGGATAATCGAGACGATATCGACTGATGATCCCAGTCAACTGGGGGAGGTGGTGGAAAGGCCCAAGGATATGGGTACCGGTTTCCATATAGATAGTGCCACTGTCTTTCATCCCACGGCATCGGGGGTGAAGACGGCCGGTGTCGATCATTGACATCAGGAGCCGGTGAGGCATTAGGGGACTGGTGGCTGGATCGATCAGATCCCGACATGGGTTGTTGTGTATACTCCATGTCAGAGTCGACAAGTTGGTTCTGCTCCGGTGAGGGAGCTCGACCTTGACTGGCTGAAACCTTATGGACTTTCGGATTAACGTCCTTAGTGGGTTTTACAGCCTTCGTCGACTCTTTGCCCTTCTTCCGGATCTTGGAAGAGACGGCATCAGAAATCCCCTGCTTCTGGATCTTGGAAGGTATGGGGCTGTCGCTGGTCGACATGGACCTTTTCGGTGCCGAAGCATCGATTGCAACTGTCAACGCCGATGTTCCCGAAACGGGAATGAAAGTGTCCGGAGCCGAAGTCGACATAGAGGGGTGTCCGGACGTGTCTAGCGGTGAAGAAGACTGAGGGGAGAGCGCTTTCTCCATCAGGGCCAACTGCAACCGGGCGGCTCGATTTTTCCTTGTTTGATTGGAAAATTTTCGGCAATGCCTGCAAGTAGACACGCAGTGAGACTCCCCCAAGCAGACAAGACAAAGAGAATGTCCGTCGGTGAGGGATATCTTAAGGCCGCAGGTCTTGCACAGCTTAAAACAACCTCACCGCGAGGCCATAGGCCAGCGGAGGGAATTCCGACAAAAATCCAAAGGAAAATACTAACTGTGAACAAAAATAAAGTAAAGCGAACTAACTACACGAGTTTTTTGAAAGTGAAAGTAGTACTTATCAGACCAAAGCAAAAAGGCGTCTTACCAGCGCGGCGGTCAGAGAAGAACTGGCGGGATCTGCGTGCCCCTCCTTGGTCATGCGCAGTGGGGGCCGGCGCTAGACCTGGGAGAGGCGCGAAAATCCCTTTTGCTAGCTACCGATTCCGAGCAGGGTCAGCGCAGGCGCAGTATATCCCAAGGGTGTGATGCACAGAGACCACGAAGAAGATCTTATGAAACCATATGGGGGGGGGAAATAAAGTAAACGTAACCAGATTTTATACCCAGGCATCCTGCAAGCAAATGTAAAAAGTATTCCTCTTCCAATATGACAGGCTGAGGCCAAGTCAAGTCAAGTCAAGTGCAACAGGCATAAACCAACTTGAGATTTCCACATACCCATGTAATTTGGTGCATCCCACCATTATTATGAGACTACAGCAAGGCTTTCTTTGTCTACCACAGCCGTTATCTTTGGTTCCAAAGAGAAACTTTTTAAAAACAAGGGCAGATGTCTGAAAATGCCAGTGAGGT